ACTTGGTACGACCCCCTTTTCGACACCTCGACCACCATATTCCTCTCTATAGTATTTCAATTCTGTAGTACCACTCAACCCACCAAACTCCGCCCACTTTTTCCTCCAAAAATGCCGTCGAGCGGGGAAACTTCAGTTTCACCTCAAACTCACATGTGATTTCAAGCGACTGAAGCGGGTACGACCCCCCTCCTACAAACTCAACCAGGTACGACCCCCCCCCCCGTTGTTACTAGTAACAACGTAGGGTTGACCCTGCTCCCAACCCGAATTTTAGTTTAACTCTCATGTATGACGAAACATTCCCTGGTTTGAAAGCTCACAACTTGCTTTGAAAGTTCATGTAGCATGTCCGGTCTTCAGCTTAGTAAGCAGCTCTTATGGTTGTACAGATTCACCTAGGCCTTCATTAGAAGTTTCCTGGGAATTTGGAAAATCTTTTCCTTTTAGGCTCTGTTTTCCCTGTATCGCTTATGAGAACCAGGGAACCGGATAACTTTCCCGCTCCACTTTTCGTTTTGTATTTTTTACACCGGCACCCTATTTGGAAGCCTTTTTCGGTCATTCTGTTAGGGTCCAGGGGTCCAAGGGGGCCGAAATCGAGTCGAAATTTTGCGCCAGTGATAGCCGTTGTTGTTTTGTGACGTAACTGGTACAAACGTAAGATGGCATTCCGATCAAAAGGCCCGAGCGATATCACACTTGAGAGAAATAGACAGGCCATGTCCAAAGTGGGTGGGAGCGAACAAACAAGGTTAAGAGCTCTTTTCACTATAAAAACGATCACTGCGCTTCGTTTGCACTCTTTTGCAGCGATGCAATACCTTATTGTGTTAGCCTTGGTCGCCGGCTCAAACGCCTTCCTCTTCGGCGGTGGCGGCTGTGGCGGTGGATGCGCGTAAGTTTTGTTAACCTTATTCATATATGAATATTCAATTCGTTTCAGAGTAATTTTATATAAATATATTTTCAGACCTCCTCCACCACCTCCCCCACCATGCGGTTGTGGCGGCGGACTGGGACTCTCACACTTCTTCAACTTCCCACTACTTTCCCCATGCGGAGGTGGTTGTGCTCCTCCTCCGCCACCTCCTTGTGGAGGTGGATGTGGTGCTCCTCCACCACCTCCTCCTCCACCACCATGTGGAGCCCCTTCAGGATGCGGCGGCGGCGGTGGTTACGCTCCTCCAATGAACTACGCTGCTCCTCCAATGAACTACGCTGCTCCTCCCGTGCACTATTCTGCTCCTTCCATGAACTACGCTGCACCTCCACAAAACGCCTACGTTGGAAAATAGGTCTCGTCATACCCAGCATCTCATGACACATTCTCAGGCTGTTCGAATACGAGTTTTTCTTTTGTCTACGTTTGCTCCGATTGAACAATGAAGTATTAAACCTTTACATGTGAAAAAAAGTAATTGATGTGCTGCTTCGCTTTTGAACAGAATTGCTTGATGGCCTGGCTAAAAAGCGAATTTCAAAAGCAAGGCAGGCCATCAGAAATCAAGGTAGAGGTATTCAGTGATGCGAGGATGAAGGAAAAACCACGAAAACGGTCTCGAACTTGGGAATTTGCCCCTTTTTATTGGTAATTTCCCACATTGGAGCAAGTCTCATTGGTGCTGACATTAGCAGAGTCAACTTTTTGCTCTACGTCTCTACTCAACGGCATTATCAGCGGTTAGAGTCCGACAGCGAGTGGCTGGCCAGTCGTTGGGCGTGGAACATCGCGAGGGTAGCCGGAGCGACTCTCTTAGCCCGCTAGGACATGGCTTTTGCTGCCAAACGCGCACGCCCGACATCTCTCGCTCCCTTCCAGTTAACATGCTTCCACTCCCCTTTACTTCTTGCCAAATGGAATTCTCTTTCAAAAACAGTTTTAACCAAATTCTGGTCATAACGAGCCTACTACCGTAAAATAGGCAGCGTTAGGTTTCGGAGATACAAAGAGTAATCGAGCAGCAGAGGGCAAGAATAAGTGGTGTACGGCAAGATGCTCAAACCTATCTGAGTAAACTGACTGTTACGTGTATTCGAAAACGCGCTTGCGGTACACTAGTTGAACTTATGCATATACGTTTTAAAAATGAGACGAAGTGTCGTGTACTCAGACCATACCGCCACAAGTGACGACGGCCTCTCATCAAAAATTCAAATGTTTTCTGACAGTGAAATGGCTAGCCTGCTCAGCCTGTTCAGCTATCGGTTTGTCACTAATTCCAACACGTATTAAGGATAAAAGGATAAAGCATTTGCCGTTGATCAATCCCTTTTTGGGATGCGGCACGCATTCTACTTCCATTTGTACATTCAGTGGCGTTTGAATGCGATGTGGCCTATACAATGACTTGCGGGGCCAGCCGATGTACAAGTCAGTGTTTTTATCCTCCCAGACAAGTCTGGTACCAATTAACCGACCCCGGAGGGATGGAAGGCTTGGTTGGCCCGGGCGACTCACGACCCAGGATGCCCCGAAGATTCTCAATTCCTTTCAGAAATCTTCCCAGAGTTTCCTAAACCTTAACTAGATGATGTTCGCACATACTCAAAATTCGCTGTCATCTTGAACCAGTAGCGTACTTTCTCCCGCTGCACTCAGAGGGCCAAATACGACCCTGTCGAGGCAGTACGTTGACCCAACCAGTTAAAGCATATATAAGCATTCAAGCATGTGCAAATTCTCAAGTGCGTCGAATTCATGGCGTAACCTAATAGGGTATTATGAAACAAAGCACTTACGAAACAAAGGCCATCGTAGAATGACGTTGAAGCAAATGGAAAAACTTCTTTAATTCTAATGAGATCAAAAACCTTGCACCTGCACCTGTTTTACTTTACTTTTTGAGAAACAAGAAACCATGAGTCAACCTTTTATGCGTTCTGTTCTCGAAAAGTAGAATACTCGGCATAACGCGGAGGCAGAAAATACGAAAATTCGTGAACATCTCCGGAACCCTTAGCACGCCTATTCTCCCAAGTTGCCAAAAATATATAGATCTCTGTCCACCACGATCTCTCCCAGACATCACATGGCCTCGTTGTACATTGCTACACGGATACTTGACTCGCGCAGGGGCAAAGCGTTTGCTGGCGCATCATTGTCCGTGACTCAGTGAACTCTTTTGAAGCAGCATCCCCAGATGAGGTCATTTCAATAATTTATCCTGTGAGCAGGTAGGATAACCTACCCTCTACTATCACAGCTGTGCCGATGCCCGGGCGTCTCAGAAATGCTGGACAATGGCTTTTGGCTCTTATAAAATGAGGTGAGGACGGCTCATGTGAGCCAATAGACGAGATTCCTCGTGCGCGCCCCGTAATACGCAGCGTGGATTACGACCATGGAGAAGAGTAAGCTCAGAAAACTCGTCTGGCGTCATCATTTCAAGGGTGGTAGATATAGAGGCGGGCCTCAATCAATTAAGGGCTTCTTATCGGTTTGCTTTGCTCCAATATCGACCGCTGTTACCTCACCAATTTCATCTGGGGCTATCTCTTTCAAGGCAGAATTTACGATTGAAAGTTAGCTCATTGGAAATAAGGTAGAGATGGTCAGTGGAGCAGAAACGAAAGGAAGAAACCATGAGAAACGGCCCAGAACCCGAGAAATGGGACCCCTTCCTTGCCCGTTGATTTGCGCATTGATGCGACTCTCATCGCTGTGCCCTCTTCAACACTACGCTCTCTCAGCTATCTAATCACTCGCACGTATAGACTACGGCGAGTGATCAGATGGTCGGTGGGCGTACCCCGCCAACCGCGCCAAGAGTGAGCCATGCTAGATCGCCGAGGTCAAATCTTTCGCTGCCAATTGCGCGTCGGTCAGCACCCTCAGGAGGTCCGCCTGTCTCCCAACTATGCAATTTTCCCCTTCTTTGACCTTCGTTCTTATCGCGAATTCCTCCTTTAAGTACCTCACAGTAGTCCTTGATCAGGTACTAGTTATCAACTGTATGGGAAACGTAGAGGAATACCGACTGACTTTGCATGTTTTTGTAAAGAGCGTGCGTGCATAGGAATGTTAATCAGATTCCAAATGGAAATCGAACGCGAGACCCATTCCAGAGTGATTTATCGTACTGACCACACTATGTTTTATTCCAGTTTCGTTTTAACAAGAAAGAAAGATTAATGCATGTGACCGACTTAGACGTCTGCTTTAATGGGAGGATAGTGTAAAGCATCTCGTCTGGAATGGTAATTTCACGCTGCGATTCGAGGGATTTCAGTTTTCCACTTCAACCACGTACTTGTCCTTGAAAAAAATTACGACCAGATCCGAAGCTTTGTTTAAATGAAACGCCTATCAGTGACGGCTTTAAGTTTCTAAACCGACAGTTTGTAGTTTGACCAGAATAACGCAGTTCGTCTATTCATGAGGTGAAACTCCAGTTCGGGGGGGGGGGGCACTCCATTTTTTCTCATTTAAAGTAGACTTCTGATAAATATTGGTGTAATGGGTGAGAAACCCTGAAACGTTTTCACATTTCCGCCTGCCATGACCCAAGGGAACGGTCCTGGACCAGGAGAAAGGACACCTCCGCAAAGGGCTAAGGGTGCAGGAGCTCCAGGGTGGATCACCTGTGCAGAAAAGTGGATGGGATGTGGGCAGGTAGTGTGGAATGTAGGACATCCACCGGTCCTTATCAAAAGTACGCTCGAAATGAGTCGTTCACTTATTATCTTATCCGTAGTGTTCGATAGCCCAAAGAACTGCTCTCTAGTACTACGGATAAGATAGCAATGGAGTGGCCCCCCGAACTGGAGTTTCACCATTCATGACACTTCGTGCATAGCTCACTGGTAGGGTTTGGTTGAGGGTTACAATGGACCCTGAACCTTTTGCGTGATTTCTCATCGAGTCACTGGAAGCGCTACACTTTTGGTTCTCGAGCAAGAACATCCAAATGCGTGTGTTTTTTCCTAACCGGAATATGATCCTGAGGATGTCCTTCAAGGCAATTCTTGCAATTACTAGCCGAGTTAAGCTTTCTAAGATTGATAACCCGTTGAAAGTAATATTATTTGTCTCCTAATGTCTCTGAATAACTAGGACTCACCATAACCCGGCTATCCAAAGAATATTCTGTCTGCTGACAGTTCTAAGCGAGTAGCGTGAGTATGCTAACTCGCTGACACGTGCCAGCAAATAAGACATTAGGGATAATCCTTAGACGACAATCTGAATTTCCACGGGACCAGGGTCAACCTTGCGCTCGCTCTACTCGAAAGAGGGGGTCGCGTCCGTGATTTTGGAAGGGGGAGGGGCGGGCTTGCATTTTGGGTTGAGCAGAAGGTTTATCATGGTGGGAACGGAAGTCCTTTGAAGGGGTTTTGTTTGGACGGGTTTTTGACGAATTTGATGAAATCTACGAAAGTGAGAATTAGGCAAATTTGGTAGATTTGTCGCTTCATGATACTGATCCACTTCCCCCCCCCCGGTGGAGCTGGAGGGAAAAGTGGACGGAGTTGGGATGTGTCGGCTGGTCTCATTATCAAATAGAAACAGCCATGATGGCGAGGGCGGTGGTTAGAGAAAGGGAAGAAGGATCGTATTGGGAGAGCCTTCTACGACTAACGGTGGTGGGGGGATCGCATCGAGACCCTCTAAAGGGGGGGGGGTCGCAAAATTTTTGGAAAGGTGCAAACCTGACGGATGACCCTGTGGGGGTACCGCGCCTATTTTTAGTGCACTAATCTCTCGCTCAGCAGGGGGCAAAATTTTCACTGATAGCAGGTTGTCTATTGAATTTTTGGACTTTAGCCATAGCTATAGAAAATGTAGCTGCCTTGTAAACTTTTTTATTACATATTGTTGGAAAGAGAATTGAAAGTGCGCAAGGAGATTCGGATTTAAAAGGATGGAGGGAGAAAATTTCAGAAGTTCAGGTGTACAGTAGAATTTTCGATACAATTTGAACCCCTTCCTGAGCCTGAAAGTATGAAAGCCAAAGAAATCCTGACAGTAGTTGAACTTCGGCCTAGAGTGATGTAAAACCCAAATAATTTTGCCGGCGCGGCTAGAAGCTATATGATTAAATTTCCTATAAATAAGCTCTTATTGAATAATTTGCAATACATGCCGAACAGATATTGAAGCTTGTGTAATCAGCTTGGGAGCGTTTAATTTTAATTTAATGTTAATTTATATTTAAATGCGCAACAAAATGTTGGTTGGCATTCATTGTGTGCACTATCGCAAAAAGAAGTGCATGTTTCATTAGTACATGCAGGGTAGCAGAGGAATGGCTACGTTGAAGTCTCTGAAAAGGGCTGATGTACTCCATTACTGTAC